GCCAAAGACTTTACTCTAGACCTCAGGCCCCGGAGCCCCTGCAGACTTTAAAGTTGACTCTGTGAAGATCACGTTTGCGCCAAGCGGCTGAGTCCCTGCCTCGGCTTCGGCTCAACAAGGAGCCCACAACGTTTTAGAGGCGATGGATCCATACGCGGATCGAGTGGGGCCGGGGCTACACGCGGCTTTGCATGCTGCGAACAGCAAGGCTTCCTGTGCCAGTCTCCGAGCGACTGACGCCGCTTGACCACAATCAGCCTAACCACATCACCACGACCGACCATCATGAGTGGTATCTCCTCCTCCTCCTCCTCTCGTTGTTGTCGTCGTCATCGTCATCGCCTTCTCTATCCTCATCCTCATCCTCATCCGCCTCATAATCATGATCATCACCATCATCGTCAGCATCAACATCATCATCATCATCATCATCATCATCATCATCATCACCGTCAGTGCCTTGTTAGCATTGCCACCGTCATCAGGCTCACCCCGACAGCTGCTTTCATCTCAAACCCTGCATAGCAGAGTCTTGTTCTTAAGTTCACATGCTCGACAGTCTGAACCGAATCAACCTGAACTGAAACTGGAGACGACGCGGCAGGTGGCTTGCGGCTCCCGGAAAGCGCCGCCTCGACCTGCACTGCAAGCCCAGGTGCTGAAGCCAATTGCCCTTCCCCTCGATGGGATCCACCTTGACGCTGGCATCCTCTGCAGAGTCGCGCGAAAAATTGAATACTTTAGTGTCGGCGTTCGCTTTCGTCGGGTCCTTGAAGAGGGGCCGAGAGACCCCGCAGCTCTCCGGGGCGAGGCCGGAAACCAGGGGCAGAAGCAGAAGCCGCAGAAGCCGCAGCGAGGCATGCATGGGAGGCTCGAAGGCCTGGGCCTGGGCCCTTCTTTTCTGCGGTTTAGCTATGGGCTTCTGGACTGCATACCCCTGCTATAGTCGACGAACAGAGTCGTCGGCACGACAATCAACGAGTCGCGACCCATTTCGTGTTGTCAGTTGTTGCTAGGGAGGTAAGAATCTGCAGATCTAAAGATAGAGCTGCAGCAGACTAACACGATGGAAATCAAGCTCTTGCTTTAGGGGAATGATGAGGAGGCTGCTATGGATGTCGTAGATTAAGGATGTCGGGCTTGGGAGGTTTTCTTACAGATTGGGAGAAGCCAGATGGCTCTGTGGCATGACCTTGCTTCCAATGCCCGCCAGCAACGCAACAAGTGCAGATTACAGGAACTTGCTCCGGACAGGGACTTCGTGTCAATAGACCTGAAGACGTCAGTTTTCTTCTGTACCTCTTCCTGCTCTGGCAGCTCCACGGCCGAGAAACTTCCACATAGAGGCAGAACTCCAGTTTTCGAAAATGCAAGAGCAGCCAGCTGGTAATCCATTAACACTAAACATGCGGCATGCACCCAGAAAGTCCCTGGAGTACTGAGCCGCCCACGTCGCACGTGGGTAGAGGAGGTAGTACTCCTTCGGTGAAACCTGCGACTGCCGAATGACAACTCCTCACCAAAGGAAAACATCAACCCCGGACCATACAAACTGCTGACAGTCGAACTTCTGCTCTATCGTCTTCGCAGGGTTTCTCGCGACCCGAAATCCAAACCTTTTGCACGCAATGTGTGTGTATGCTGAAGCATCGCAAGGCATGCTTCAGCTTAAGATATCAAGGAATGCCATCCAACTACGTGGCGCCCACTGCCATTGCTGAAATTCCAAACCCCCCAAACATGTCGCCCTCTGACGCTCGAAAGTGTCTTGAGCTGAGAGACTCCCAGAGCTCGAAGTCCGGAAGTTAGAAGAAGTTTTCCAGCCCCAAGCAAGGAACCGCCTCCAAGACTCTGGGCCAGAACTACAAAGAGCCCGAAAGAACCCTCCTCAGACTTGACACGAAGGTCATTCTCCCCAATGCCTCCAGCAACCGATCTTTGCAAGCATTGATGAGCTCGATGAAATAGTTGCCTCAGTACCGGGAGCGCTGGTTTCGAACTCCGCCCTTAAACAAGCGGGAGATGAGGCATTTCGGGTTTGAGGCTTCCTACCGATCTTTGAGAATGTCTGCTCGGAGTTGAAAGACTCGGTTCCCGGGTCTCAAACCTGCAAGTCCCGCAATGGTGTCAATGATGGATAAAGAGCAAGTTGAACAGGCCCTTATGGGATGGCTACGCTGCAGCTTTCTGCTTTAAAAACTGCAGTTCTGAGGTTCCTCCCAACCCTGCTCAGGTGCCCGGACCATCGTCTTCCAGCAGCTTCAGGTACCGCTTTATGACGGCTTTGTCCGTGCAGTCCTGCACTTACTCATCGTGCTCGGCGTCCGAAGAGTCTCGTCTGAACTACTGCAACGCCCTTTTCCAGAAATTATACGATCTCGGCCTTCAAAGCTTCAGGGTCCTGTCAGTGGGAGCGGAAGCCCCCCGAAACCGTTTCTCAGAAGGACTCCCGGCTTTCCTTGGGCCTTTTGTACATCGGGGCTCGGCATACCTGGTCTCTTGTCTCTTGGATTTGAGACCTTCGCCTTCAAGCTTGCTTCGACCTCGAAACGCGCAAGAGGGATTGCCAGTCTTCAAACCGCCGCAAGCAGCAGCAAACATGAGCAAGCAGAGTAGTCAGCTAAGCCTTGAGTTCTGTTTTGTCGGCTGGCACGAAATCCTGCTTCAACTGTGGGGCAAAGCATGACGCGACTGCTGCAAGTTGGACGGAGCGGGCTGGCAAGGTTGCTTAGGGGACCCGATTGAGCTTCAACCGCACAGATCTCTCACATAAGCCCTGTAAGAGGGAAAGATCCTTGATCGACTCAAAGTCGATGTCTTCCAGTTTGATTTCCTGAGTTCAGGCTTCACCGGGCACCGGCTCCATCCAGTATTGTGGTGCAGGCTTTTCTTTCATCGCTCCGGTGGGCTAATCTCCGAAATTCCAGGAGCAGTGATTCCCTTACCAACTGGGCGCACGGCACTGAGCGACTTTTGCGGCGACATGGCCGAAAGTGGGAAGGAGGGCACTAGGCTGTGATGAAGGAGCTGACAAACGCTTGTACTGAGTAAGCATGCTGCTCCTTTCCTCCTGTCCGCCTCAAACTTGCCCCATACGACCATCTGTGGTACAATGTTTTGTGTTTTTGTGCTGGCCGGGCATTCCTCGTGCGTAGCTTCGGCTGGCTTGTGGCCACTTGGAGCAACGGGTTCCTCGCTGAGCAGCTGGAGCACAAGACGGGAAAGCATTTTGGGCATTCTGCACCAACACATAGCATGTGTGTACACCGAACGCAACCGCGAGCGAAAAAACACGTAGCACAAAGAAATGCCACAAAGGAGGGTCCAGGTGCTTGTGATGTTCCTGTAGCTAAGCACAGGAAATTGACCGTTGACTCCCTACGGTTCACAGCCAGACCTGTTGCATTGAGCTTGAGCCCAATGACTCTTGAGCCAAACACTGTTTGGCTTGAATCCACTTCTGCCTTTTTCTCCGAATAGCGGCCAGCTGCCAAACCCTGTGCTGCCAGCACTTGGAGCGTAGTAAGTTACAGGCCACCTGTGTGCTTATGATATCGTGAACCAATCTCGACCCCCTACCGGCAGGCCGGAATCCCCCACCACCCCAACCCACTGCTAACAACAAAAACAACAACAACCAAGTAAGCCTACACACCACCTACTGCCTTTTCCGCCTACGCGGAACTGGATCAGCCGCCCTGCCACCTCCTTGCAGCACTACACTGCAAAGCCATGCGGCGCTGGGTCAGCCTTCCTAGCACACACTAAGTTTCAGAGCTTTAAATTCTCGGCGCTATTACCTAAGGCTACCCTCTTGGCTGGAGTTGCTTCGCGACTGTTGTGCGAGACCCTGACATTTCGGATGTCGATGTCTTCTGCGGCAGATTAAGTTGTTGGGCTCTGCCCTGTGTGATCTACCACAAAGGCCCCGAAGCGAACGCGAATTGCAAGCTTTTCTTCGGTCATGGTGAATGGTCGCCCCTCAGTCCCCCGAAAAGTAGAACCTGCCGGGGCTGGATGTCAGGCACTAGCCAGGACTTGGCGGACGCTGCACCATGTTCTGCGGCTTGGCCCATGCTGCACATGCAATCATTCTTGGACCCTCATGATGCAATCGGTCGTATGAATGTGCGCTTTCACCGTCTGAAGTCCCTCACGCTTTCAGGGAGGAGCTTTCCTTCTGACGAGCTGCATGCGACGAACATGTCTGCTACCTGAAAGAAAGCATTCATTTGCTTCCGTCACATGAGGTGCTCTTCACCAAGTCGCATGGTGCTCAAGCGTAGGGCTCGAACTTTGCAATTAGGAGTTTGCGGTAAAGTTTGCCAGCAAATGACGCTTCTTAAGATGTACGGCTCCGAAATGTGGTTATCAGTGTGGATGCACACGGGATGAATCCTGAATCCCACCACGAATCTGGAAGAGATCGACGCCCGAATAAGAACAATGCCCCCTAGACACGAAACCGGAAAGCGCTGAAGGACAAATAAATGTCATGGTTTACCCTGAACATCAAGCCCTGACGGAGCCTCAAGGCCCGCCAGCAATCCTTGAAAGATGTCGGCAGCACAGAGGCTGAGAAGCCGTCGCCGCCTTCCCCGTAAGCAAGGGGCCGGACAGGGCAGCATTCTGTCAGGCCTGTTGGGGTGTCGGCAGGTCCCACTCGGGACACTTTCGGACTTTGAAACTTGAAAGCATCATCATGTTCTCTTCGGGCTTTCCCGGCGTGCACGACTGGACAAGACAGGTGCGTTGCGGCAGAAGCGCAGCTGTTCCACGACCGACGAGCTATCAGAAGTATTCCTGGCATCTATCGCAGGCGCCGCAAGTCAGAGTGTTCCGTAGTACGCAGCCCCCTTGCCGCCCAGCCCTGCGACTGGCGGGAGCAGGCTCAGCGGAGGCTTTGAAAGGTACCGAGCTCACTGCGCTCGTAGACTGCTGCCTAACGTCTTCGCATCCCTCACCGCCCTCACCCCACACCGCTGGTCACCGGGCCGCGCCTTCTTTGTAGTAGCGGACCCTGTAGTCTGCTCCTTCAGACGGCTTCGTCTGCTCTGGAACCGTCATCCCATGGGCGGAGATTCAACTGGCCCTCCGCTGGCCTTCGCTCTGCGCTAACTATCCGAAGGCCGCTGAAACTCTTAGGTTCCGATGGCAGCAACACATCAGCGGAGAAGGGTGCACGCAGCGTACACAACACCGGAAGGTTCTGCAACACGAAGAAGAAGACCTTGACCGCAGCGGTCCACGGTCCAGAGCTCCTCCCTCAGCACTGCCACATCCTGGAGAACTTCCATTGCCGCTGCTGCCGCTTGGGCTTCGAAAAAACCTCACTACCTCGGCCTCTCCATTAGACCTCGGACACGGTGACGCAAAGACCTCAAACAGCCCAGCCCTCCTAAATCCTCCCTACCAGCCTTGGGATTCCGCAGATCCAACATGCCTCAGAGACGCTCCAGCTGCAGCGTGTTTTTTGTCTCTGCAACAGTCTCGGAGCTCGCCACTCTTTGCGTGTCGTCGGTGACAAAGAGCATGCGCATACCCGAGACCGCTAGACCAGGGGCTCCGGCGGCCCAGCAAGGAGGGGCTGGTGCTCTTGACGATGCGCTTCAAGACCCTGGCGAATGTGGAATGTCGACGGCACACGGCTGGACGCAAGAAACCAACTCCACCTTACGACTTACCGTGAGCACAGGACAATCCTTCAGTAGTTCATGGGACTGCTCCTGGCACCCTCATCCGGCTACATTTTGATGGGAAGCTGCGCTGTGCATCAAACCAAGCACGGCACCTCGCATCTTTGCCTAGGCGAGGCATCTGATGTTGGAATCAGCATACCGAGGATGTGGGTGTGGGCGTGTCGAATTGGCGAAGTAAACTTAATACCCTGCTGCAGTGAATAGATGACCGCCTCTGTCAATGGCTACTATTCTAGAAGTCCCAGGCAAATGGAACCCGAGAAACGTCAAGCACAGGAGCTCCTCGGACCCGGACATTCGTCCAGGTAGGTGACTTCCACATTCCTCTTCGCACAGACTGTTGGTCCCTGCAAGCCTCCTACTGGTAAAAGGGGGCGCCATTGTTAGTGTCATCAGACCGATACATTCCCAATATCAAGCCCGGATGAGTCGCATGATTCTTCCAGTGCCCACCTCCCAGCAAGTACTTGGGAAACCCCAAATGCTCTCATCCACACATGTCACGCAAAGGTCGAAGCTCCACAGCTGGCAGATCCCCTGGCAAACTCCTCTCTGGGAACTGACAACCACCACAACCTTTTCCCCTTTGACGAGTGGCTGGACTTTGAACAGGGCCTGCCGAAAGGGGTAGTGGCATTCGATGTTTTCGGGCGTCGGGGCGGTTGAAGACTGGCAACCGGCTAGTGCACGCTCAACCTCGAACCATCTTCCAGCCCAGCCTTCAAATCTAACAGAATCAAAGCCAACCCTGGAGTTTGGGCTTTGGGATTTCGGTGACCCGGGTCGTGGCAGACTGAGCGAAAGGCCGCCAAAAGCTTTGCCAACTAACGACTGCGTCAAACCCACGAGTTTGAGAGATCCGTCCAGAGCCTGCAGAGCCTGCGCTTTTTCGAGCTACAGCCACTTGTCGCTCTCTTGCGAGGCTTTTGAAGGGGTGAGGAAGTCATTCCGAGCTCTTTCAGGAGCCGGAGGATTCGGGGCTGGACTCTGCCCTGAGACTCCAAAGCCTAAACAAACCAGGCTTTAGTCTGAAGCTTCCGGCCACACGGCTTTTCCAGAGTCACAAGCCAAAGAAACGCACCTTTCGGGAAATGAGAATCGAAAGCGACCCGAGACCCCCAGGATACCCCCGGATGGACTACTGCCCTGCGCTGCCCCCCGGAAGCCTTCAACACCTTCAAGCCCTTAGTGCACGAACGCATTCAGACTCACAAAGCCCCGGGGTGCGCATCCAAGGGGCCAGGGTGGTTTCAGCGAGAAACTCTCAACAGCTCATCTCACTGAATGCCACGTGTCATCGCGTTTCTGCCCGAACAGAACTGGACATGTCACTTCGACGCCTTGTGCTTCGTTGTTGCACCCCGCTGGACGTAAATACGTTGCTGGTGATGGTGGTGATGATGGTGATGGTGGTGATGGTGTGATACTGGTGATGATGGTGATGGTGATGG